GCTAGCCATAAGAAAGGCCAGCTAGCTATAAGCTAGCCCAGCTAGCCGTAAGAAAGGCCAGCTAGCTATGTAAGAAAGCCCAGCTAGCCACAAAAAAGGCCAGCCAGCTATGTAAGAAAACCCAACTAGCCATGAGAAAGCCCAGCTAGCTATATAAGAAAGCCCAGCTAGCTATGTAAGAAAGCACAGCTAGCTATAAGAAAGGCCAGCTAGCAAAAAGAAAGTACAGCTAGCCATAAGAAAGCTCAGCTAGCTATAAGAAAGTACAGCTAGCTGTAAGAAAGTACAGCTAGCCATTGGAAGACCCAGCTAGCCACAGTGTGGCCCAGCTAGCCATACGAAAGCCCAACTAGCCACAGTGAGATGCAGCTAGCCACAGGAAGGCCCAGCTAGCCATAAAAAAGCCCAGCTAGCTGTAAGAAGGTCCTGCTAGCCACAAGGAGATGCAGCTAGCCACAAGGAGGCTCAGCTAGCCACAAGCAGATGCAACTAGCCCTAAGAAGGCCCAGCTAGCCATAGGAAAACCCAGCTAGCCATGAGAGGACCCAGCTAGCTATTGCGAGCGTCAGCTAGCTATAAGAAATCCCAGCTAGCCAGAAAAAGGCCCAGCTGACCATAGTCACACCCAGCTAGCCATAGGCAGGCCCAGCTAGCCATAGTGAGGCCCAGCTAGCCACAATAAGCCCCCGCTAGGCCAAACGAAGGACCAGCTAGCTATGGTGAGGCCCAGCTAGCCATAAGAAGGGCCTTCTTATGGCTAGCTGGGCCTTTATATATATATATATATATATATATATAGCTAGCACAATGAAGCTCAGCTAGCCATACGAAGTTCCAGCTAGCCATAAGGAGGGGGGCTAGCCATGAGAAAGCCCAGCTAGCCATGAGAAAGCCCAGCTAGCCACAAGAAGGCCCAGCTAGCCATAAGGTGGCCCAGCTAGCCATAAGAAGGCCCAGCTAGCCAGTATGAGGGCCAGCTAGCCATAGCGAGGCGCAGCTAGCCATAAAGAGGGCCAGCTAGCTTAGGCGACTGTGGCTAGCTGTGGGCAGTTTGGAGCGGCTTGTGGCTAGCTGTGGCTAGCTGTGGCTAGCTGGACTTTTTGATTTATAGCCGCCTTTGGTGTGGCTAGCTGCAGCAGGCAGTGGAGAGGAAAGAAAAGGGAGAAGGGTTTAGGGTTTAGGGTTTAGGGTTTGGGGTTTAGGGTTTAGGGTTTAGTAGTAGCATAATTTCCGCTGTCTTGCTCCATCCCTTTTAATCCCTTTTCGCCCTTCTGTGTCTTTTAAACTTTGTCTTGGGGCTAGGGTTTAGGGTTTAGGGTTTAGGGTTTAGGGTTTAGGGTTTAGGGTTTAGGGTTTAGGGTTTGAAATTAAATCTTTTTTTCCTCCAATTCGATTTTGCTGCTGCTGGCGCGTCTGCGGTGTATGTACAGCCCGACGGGGTGTACGCGCACCTCTGTGCACCTTTTTGACCACTTTTTCATTTCTAAAACTTCTAAAAATAATATTTTAATTATTTTAATTAATTTGAACGAAAAAAGAAACAAAAACCCTAGAACAAACCCTCTTCTCGCCACAACCACCAACCCCACCCCCTCCAGCGGGCACCGCTGGGGGCCCCGGGGGGGCCCCTGGACTTTAAACTTTATTTTTTCCTCTTTTTAGTTTTGTTTTGTGTCTTTAGGAGCTTTTCGCTTCAGCAGAAGCTCCATTTAGATTTGCTGCTGCTCCTGGGGGCCCCCGAGACCCCGAGGGGCCCCCTTACAGCTTCCCCCCAGGGTTTAGGGTTTAGGGTTTAGGGTTTAGGGTTTAGGGTTTGGGTAGAGGGGCTTTCCAGGCCTAACTTCTGGGCCTTGACGTCGGCAGCGCAATGTGCTCTGCAGTTAAGAACTGGCAGCAGCAAGAGTGAGCAGCAGCAGGGCTACTGCAGCAGCAGCAACAGCTACAGCAGCAGCTACAGCTGCAGCAGCAGCAGCAGCTGCTGCTGCTGCTTCTCAGGACGACAAACGGAACTAGCTGCAGCCAGAGCTTCGGCTGCCCGGCGCTGCTTTTCAGCAGCAGCAGCAGCAGCGGGAGCCAGGGCAGCAGCAGCAGCAGCAGCAGGAGCCAGGGCAGCAGCAGCAGCCACAGCAGCAGCAACAGAGGCGGAAGCAGCACTCTGGCTGATGGGATGAGTGCCCACCGCAACGCTGTTGCCGGGTAGGCTGCTGCTGTTGCTGCTGCTATTGCTGCTGCTGCTGTTGCTGCTGCTGCTGCAGGGAGAACGGCTCCCTGGCGCTGCTGCAGATGCTGCTGCTCCCTGTACAGCCCCAGGAGCTGCTGCAGCACGAAGATGACGATCTTGACAGCAGCAGCAGCAGCACTGATGCCGCGCCTCCAGCAGCAGCAGCAGCTGCTGCTGCTGCACATGCTGCAGCAGAAGGAGCTGCGTCGTATCACCACAATGCCGCAGCCCCTTTGGACGCCCCTCAGCAGCAGCAACAGCAGAAGCAGCAGCAGCATTTGCTGCAGCAGCAGCAGCTGCGGCTGATTGGCCAAGGCCTCACTTCTGTCTCTGCTGCTCTTCTGCGGCTTCCCACTGGGGCCTCGCTGCAGCAGCTGCGAGTGCTGAGTCTCCACGCAAACTCCTTAGTCTCTCTCGAGGTGAGCAGCAGCAGCAGCAGCAGCAGCTGCAGCAGCTGCAGCAGCTGCAGCAGCAGCAGCAGCTGCTGCTGCTGCAGCTGCTGCTGCTGCTGCTGCTGCTTCACAGTGCTCTTGTTTGCGCCCAAGCAGCCGCTGCAGCTGCAGTAGCCAGCCGCTCCCAGTGCTGCCTCCGCGGGTCTCACTCTTCGTCTTGCTGCTGCTGCTGCTGCTGCTGCTGCTGCTGCTGCAGGGAGTTGAGACGCTGGCAGGCCTCGAGGAGCTGCGGGTCTCTTCGAATCTTTTGAGTCGCCTCGGCAGCCTGCAGCAGCTGCGGAGGCTGCGGCTGCTGGACGTAGCCTCCAACAGGGTAAACCCTAAACCCTAAACCCTAAACCCTAAACCCTAGAGTGTAGACGTGAAGCAGCTGAGCCTCGGGCTTGGCCGCAGGCTGCGTCCACGAGCAGCTCCTGCGACCAGGGCAGCAGCAGCAATTGCAGCAGCAGACGCAGAGACTTAAACCACAGGAGCAGCAGCAGCAGCAGCAACAGCAGCAGCAACAGCAACAGCAGCAGCAGCAGCAACAGCAGCAGCAGCT